AAGAACATGCTTGGATGCACACATGCACATGAAATTGGAATGTGATATAGAACGATCTTGTTCAGAGTGTTTGGTGCAATTTTCTTGCAGGTGTTGCCAGCTTCTGAGATACCAGATGGTTGGATGGGTTTGGACATAGGACCTGATTCCATCAAGACATTCAGCGAGGCATTGGATACAACCAAGACCATTATTTGGAATGGACCGATGGGTGTCTTTGAGTTCGAGAAGTTTGCAGTGGGAACTGAGGTATCTCATATTAACTAGATACAAGGTTAAACCACTGGCATTGAAGCATTGTAATCGAGCATTATTTTTCCTGTTTCAGGCAATTGCCAGGAAGCTTGCTGAGCTCAGTGGCAAGGGAGTGACCACCATCATTGGAGGAGGTGACTCTGTCGCTGCTGTGGAGAAGGTTGGACTTGCTGACAAGATGAGCCACATCTCAACAGGAGGTGGTGCCAGCTTAGAGCTTCTAGAGGGCAAACCATTACCTGGAGTCCTGGCTCTTGATGATGCTTAAGCCGAAATTTTCCTCGTGTTCTTAAGAACATGCTTGGTAAATGTTTGGTATTGCAGTCAGAGTGGTCTAGATGAGTGCTGATCGTTGGAGGCCGTAGAGTGACCAAATAAATCTTCTTCCAAGTTTATTCAACCATGGAATGGTTTCGGATTCAGTGTATTTTTTTTTTATATATATTTTGATGATCCAATTATGCGAATTTGCTCTCAACGTGTCTATTCTCAGCCTGAAATTTCAATGCTGATTCCAATGTCGAATCAAACATGAAGCATGTTTTTATCGTAAATCTCATCCTGAAAATAACAAGAGAGAGCGAGGTTTTATGGCTCCTGTTGTTGTCCTTTCATGAAAAACTCGTAAAATCCTGATCTAGCACGGTCGAAATTAAATGTTCATTTAAAAGATAATAAAGAAATTTCAAAAAGATTTGACTATCATATTTGGGATTGCTTGTGATTTTGCCTCAAGGGGCAGGGGATTTCGGAACGGGGTAATTCATGTTGAAGGACAAGGTAAATTGCTGCGTGGAGTCTTTTATCTCTCACTTTCAAAACGAGGGTTTAATTTATTATTCAGTTATCAATTGCTGCTGTTCACTGGAAAGTTCATGTGGCTTGGTGTCAGGGTGGCCAAAATATGCATGGAGTCTGACTTAGCTAGTGCACTGACCAATCTTATATTCCTATGTGAACATACGAAAGTGAAAATAATTTGGAAATCAAATGTAATTTCTTCTATTTTTTCATAAAACATGGTACCACGACAGATTCCAAAATATGTTGCGGCTAAACCTAGAGTCATTTGCGAGTTCTTGTATTCTTTTTACAACTTGAGAATCTGTTGCTATGCCTAGTTTCCTCGAGTGTGCGCAATGAAAATAAGGAAGCCTCGCAGGTCGGTGAAGGTGAAGAAATCCCCACCAATTTTTGTTGAAGAGTTTGCTGGGATTACAAAGTCTGTGATGATATTTGGATCACTTGCTGTGACCAATGCAAAAAATGCCACAAAAAGAACTGCATTTAGCAAGGCTGAGGCCATGCTACTACTTGTATACATTTCCTTCCAACAAATTGAATATGTAATGGAATGGATGATTTGTGCTTTCTGTGCTGATTAGCACCACTGAATCAGGTACTTATAGTTGTGCCCTTAATCGTTGTTTGTCATGCATGAACATTGTTCATTGCAGCCTTGATGGCTAACTGTGATTGATGAAGTTTTCAAGGTTGGTTTCCTTTACTTAAAAGTTTATCTCCTATGGGAACTAAGGCAACAAGGCAGCTTAAGCGTGCAATTACAAGATTTTAAGTGTATAAGCATAGAATTGAAGTGAACAAGGACATTGTAGTTTCCAACAGTACCAGCTGTCTCCCAGGCCTTCGCATTATAGTTTTTAGTCCTGCGTTTGTCTTCCCTTAGTTTGCCATTCCTAAAAAATTACTGTAACAATATAGCCATCTGAGTCATACTTGTCCACTTAGAATTATTCAATTACAACTCTGGACATTTAAGCACATCAACTGATCGACATTGGCAGTGATATGTTGAAGAACCATGCACGTCAGCCTCATAATATTAAATGCAATAATTGCAATTTAATGACAATAATGTCATCATTACTGATATTTTTGGGTTATCAACCTGGGCTGGATTACATTGCCAAAGAGGTTTTTTCTTTAATCAGGATCTTTGGAGTTTAAGGGCTACATTTAGATTATCTCATCAGAATTACATGAAATATGCATGCACTTTAAATTTTAAATATGAAGTTGAGATATATAATACTTAGGCCTTTTTTTTTTTTACTCAGGTCAAAATATAGCCACTTATCCATTTCCAAAATCAACAATCTAACCCCAATATAACAAAATCTATCTTGACGTGGCAAATTAAGGCTATCCAAGACTTTGTTTTTGTACTGATTTAGTGATTTTCAACTAAAATTCCAGGTAGAAGACACGTTTCAAACTCCCACGTCGCCACATCCATAGAAAACTTGGAAACCACAAGAAGTCTGAACTGGCACTTTCCACTTCTAGAGGGGCAAAAAAAACTGCAGAAATCTTTGGCAGGAGACAGCTACGATACCTTGAGGCACAAACGTCAACATCCAAATCGACGGGGCGGTTTCCACTTGCCGATAGGACCATAAAATCTTGCACCTCCATCTAGCAAATGTTACGTCCAGGAAGCCGTGTTCCATTTCACCAGAATTTCATGTCTGTTGTGTTATGAATTGTTTAATAACCGATAATACTTTTTTACAGAATTTGGAACAAAGCAATGCATGAAAGGAAATTATTACGAAGGATTGTATTCTTCTTTAAAGCTAAATTGCTTTTCAATTGGTGCAAATGATATCAATGCAAGTAGTCTTCCAGGATTAAAACTAGAGAGCAAAAGAACAAGAAGATAGAAACAGAGAGGGAGCATAATTTTTTTTTTTTTTTTTGGTCTCAAAAGGAGGACAGGAGTGCAGAATTAATTTGATCTCAAACATGTCATTAACCATATTTTAACATTCAGTTTTTTGTTGCGGGCTGGGGACATAACTGTATCAGGGGCATTATGGAATGCAAAGAGCAACCGTATTATATGGATCCATTACAGTGATCGCTTCCTGACGGCGTTTCTGAACCCTTTTCTTATGATTATGATCGGAGCATAATCTTAAGTGATTGGTAACGCGCAGGTACTATTGAACAACCTGCAGGCCCATCTGCCATACCCTTTGTTTTTTAACGGAGAGCCACAAGTGAATTCAACTAATTCTTTAATTATCTTGAATTAGTCATTAAGTGTAATAATATTCCCTAGGCAGATGATACTGACCAATGTCTCTTTATTTTTGCTATCCAGACACTTCTTATGAACGGAAGTGGAAAATACAACGGCTCTCTTTCCTCTAGTTCAGGCTCTGCAGCTGGAGTTTGCAATACAATAGATCCTGAATGCTCTCCTTATTCGCTGACTCTGTTCCTGGAAAAACATATCGACTGAGGATTGGTAGCTAAACTTCCCTGTCAGCTTTTAGTTTTGAAACTGAGGTAATTCCATAACTTCACCAACTTCCAATTGCTTCAGAGATAATCTGTTTGAATTTTCAATATTCAAGTTCAAAAAGTCCATGATTGTTACTCTTATTTTCTTGTGCAGGGTCATGATATGACTGTTGTAGAGGCGAATGGGAGGTATGTATAACCATTCGCTATAAGAAACATTTACATCTACTTTGGGGAGACGTACGGTCTTATTAAAAAGTGACAAGAGCCTTTCCATAAACTACTTGAAAACTGTTAATGTAATTAGTCGCAAACCAGCAACACCAACTGGCATAGCCATTTTCAACTACCACCCAAACCATCCACAAAAGCAGCTTCCGACAGTTCCAACCATAGGGCCTCTTTGGAATGATATATCATGAAAGATTAGTTTTGCATTTTAGGCTCGTCAAGGTTTCATTAACACCCTCCTCTCACCTCAGAAAAGTAATTATGTAACACAAAACAGGGTTGCTGGGTATTTTAAATGGTCCTTGAACAACCTTTCTCTCACTTCTTCGGACCCCATACCTTATTGCACTCGAAAACTTGACCAGCGCATTTGATCAATGCCCTCCTCCTGATGGAAAGGAGCTCGCAAATTTTGACGTATACAGTGTTGCAAAAAATATTAATGGTACTTCAAGCAACCGCATGTATAGCCTATGGTTCAATTCAACAGTTGACGTCGTCCTACAAAATGCTAATACTGTGACTGTAAACAATAGTGAGACACATCCATGACATCTTCATAGGCATGATTTTTGGGCCCTGGGGTATGGTACAGGCAAGTATAACATGTCTAGTGAATGGAGGCGAGACAATTTGGTTAATCAACACATTTTATTGTGCCTAAACATTGTGGCGGGCATATGCTGGTTAGTGTTGCCATATCCAGCGTTTACTCAGCGCAAGATCAAGGTATTTTTATTATCAACTACACCAAGAATGTTACGAAGTAGATTGTGCTTCAGCTGCCATTGGACGAAGGAGATCATACGTCTTCAGGTGCGACCTGTTAAATGAAAATGTCAATCCAGGCAGTGAAGGTAAGGTAGAGGTTGTAATGTGTTTTGTTGACCGGTCACTGGGAGAAAGACAGGGTTCGAACTACGCTTCTTGGAAGCTCTAAATTCCATGGCCAATACAAATGATGCAGAGGCGGCGGGAGAGGAGAGTGCTGATGATGACGAAGAAACAGAAGATGTGTCTGCTCTCAACACTAACAGAGAAGTCTGAACTGTCACATTCCCAGGTAAAGCAAAAGCTTACTAATGTCTTAATCATATTAGTTTGCATTAAACCACCTTCCAAATTCAAAATCAAGATTGTGCATATTGGATTATGTTAGAGAAAATGGTTAGATAAACTGAATCCACATCTTACATTTCTAGGTTAAACAACTGAGCCACAAGGAGAAAAAAAAAAAAAAACAATGCAGAAATGAACAGTCCCAACCATTTCATATCTCAGAGCACCGAATATTTCTTAATTCAGATGAAAAAAAGAGAGTGGTGATCAAGTTAATAATAAAAACACTCATAATACTTAATTAATATACTAAACACGCCACAAGACTCAACTCCCTCTTATCACTTATGAGGTTGTTAATTCTCAGACTTAACCTCGTATTCTAACACATGAGCAAATCCCTCCATCATGAAACGCCGGATCGCACTGTCTGGTTGTTGTCTATTCATAAAACATCTGACCACTGCACCTTGTAAGGTTTTATTCACTACTTTTGGCTGTTCAAAACAATCCACTCTAGCTGTGGATCCACAACCATTCATATAATCATCTGCCTCATATTGGTTGCTCAATCTTTTCAATTCACTGATTTCTTTTTTCAGTACCTCAACCTCAGCTTCCAATTTGTTTGTCTTCTCTTTGGAACCCCCCACCACTCCGTTATTTCCAATTGATTTTGAAACAATTTCATAAACTGGCGCTCCACCTTACAGGAATTAATTAATTAATTAATCAATAAATTAAAACTAACCAACAGCTAGTGGAGTGAATTACTGTGTGCGTACCAGGGACAGTCTTGACACCTTCGCGAATTGCAAAAATAGCAGCGTTTTTGGCACAGTTGATGGTGAGATGGCTCATCATGGACCAGGTTTCTTCGTCCTGTAATCGCCGGTTTAACTCGGGGATGGCGTTAACTCTGGCGGCGGTGTCTATTCTGGTAACGGCAGCACGGGCGTAAGAATAAGAGGTCCAGCATATGTTCTTTGCAGGTGTTAACGCACGCCGATTCACTAAATCGGCACTTGAATTTATGTAGTCCCGGATTCCCATCTCTCTCTCTCTCTGTAGAACGCAGAAGCTAGTGAAGCGGGCAAAGTGTGAACCTTTGGGAAAGCATTTATTACTTCGAAAAAAAACAAAACCAAATTATCCAAAAACATCCTTAAACATACTTTTTGTTTTTTTTTTACAGGCTTATAAAAAGTTAAGAACATGTGATATAAGCAAAATTGACGAAGGGACTTGAACTTTGAAAAAAGGCTTATTTTTTACTGAAAACAAATAGTGTGATGTCACATAAACAAAAAACCTTAAAAATCAGGGGTTAAGTTCGGAATCATTTTGGATCATTTAGCCTTAAAAAAAAGAGAAAAGATAAACCTCAAATTAGCTCCTAAAATGTCATCCAATTCTCAGTTTCATCCCAAACAAAATATTTTATGAATAATTTCTAGCATCTTTTTTAGGTGGAACTTTTGTCTCTGTTTGTGGTAAAAAATAGTAGAATAAAGGATCACAACTCGTCCGTGAGTTAGAGTCTTACATCACACTAGCTGTTTATTATAATATGGCATCTTATTTTTTCAGAAAGAAACCGTTTTATGTGTCTTGGAACAAGATTCAATTTAATATTGTAGTTGTAAATTAAGATTTTGCTCTAATGAAAATGCGAAATCTTTATTTTAACTTAGTGATTATCTCCCTTCTTTAAAAAAATTAGTGATCATTTTTCATAACTCATTCCAAACGAAGCCAAGTCTTTACAAATTGTGCTGACTTGTCAGTCACGGCGTATCTATACATGATGAATACGATTCCTATCGTCTTCCAATACACCGCAGGCTCTAACCATAAAACCAGTTGAAGCGCCACTGACAGCTCCTGTAAAGCCTTCTAGGAATAAGCCAAAACGATCACATTTTCACACGGCATCTTATATGATTGTTTGATTACTCAATCCACTGTATAGGAGGCCAATAAAGGACAGAAGAAGCCACCGCTAGTCTTTCTTCTCCCTACTGCTAGGATCTGCCCTGGTATTTGCTAACTTAATTCCACACAAAAGAAGTTTTCACTCATTTCATTTGCCTTGTATAACGACAGTAATATCCATCAGTCAATCCAACTTGAACGATGGTTTCACTTCGTTGGTCAGCTTACCGCTTACAGGATGGTGCAATTTCCAGGATCCCTATGAAGGCAAAGATGAACTCATCAGCAATATGGAAAAATAGTGATTTTTCCATTCAAGGATACGCAAATGAGGGGGGACTACCTCTTTATGTCTTCGTAATTGCTCAAAGCTTGCTCGAATTTGAGCCAAAGGGGACCAGACTCTTGACGGTTCACGTTCTTTGGCCCAGAAAGATAAGCTGGAACGACAAACTGTGGAGTTCTTTCCCTGTGAACGGGACACATCACAAAGGATTTCTAAACAAAAGGCCACCTACAATTCAGATTTTGAGGTGACCGAACTCACCTCCCTTCATATTCCGATAACCAAGCCAAATAAGCTGCACCAAAGTACACAGACACAAATGGCTTGGTCATATCGTCAACAGAATCTACTCTGTAAGCCCTATAACCCAACTCCCTGAGTACAAGGAGAAAAATAAGCACATTTTAGCAATGGTCTTGAGAAACGACATAAAACCAGATACAAATGAAAAGATCCATCTAATATATACATGTACATTTCTGGTGGTAGGAGTCTTGTAGAGTTTTGCACTCAAATAGGTATTGATGAATAAAAAGATTCCACTTTACTTAATGTCAAATTGCTAAGGAAAAGTGGGAGCAGGCCACCTGTAATAGCCCCAGCTTTCAATCAAAATGCAATGTAGCAAGCTAGCAAGGCCAAACTTGTTTAATTTTTTATTTTACCAAAACTTCAGATGCACGAGTAGGGTTTTTTAAAAAGGTACATGTTACCCTATACAACCTGGAATTTCAAAAATTTACTTTGGTATTTGCATACATGTAAAGCCAGAAAGCTGTAGAGTAGTCGATCCCCATTAATCCAGTTCGCGGTCCAACCCCGTTAACAAAACGCATGCTAACCATCTCAGCAAGAGCACAAAGGACTGACTGTGCAGAAAATAAGCATCAAGAAAAAAGAACACAGAACAAAAATATTGAGCAGGGTACAGGTCCAAGAAAAATGAAATTTAGGCAAGGATAGAAAGTCCAAGAACTGAAACAAACCACAATAGAGGTGACAGTAAAATCTAACCACCTCGTTGACTACTCAAATGTCAGGTGAACTTTGAAATCTGGTTAGAAAAGCAAGATTCGCTGCCTTAGCAGATCAGTTTTATTTAAGACTAGCCTCTTCATTGTAATATTCCCAAGGAATAAAATCTCGAGTAAACCAATGACCCCAGCACCAGTGCTTTTAAATCAAACATGAGCAAAAATCACATACTGTGCACATGCTTATCATATTATCCATTGTTTCCAAGAAATTGTGAGCAAGAGAAAAAAACAGATGTGTGTTTTAAGATTAGCTATCCACTCCCACCAACTTATTGATCAGAAAAAGTGGTCTAACCCATTTCTCCTCTTTAAAGACCCTTGTAGCGCAATACTGAACATGACATGGGACTCAACATACTCATAAGATGCCAGTTCTCCAATAGGTCATCTATCTCAACTAGATATTCTTTATTATTTTGATACTTTGGATGCATCCAATCCACATGACAGAGAAATGCCTCAGCAGGATGGATGGAGTGCATGCACCATCATTTGGGTTTTGCTAGAGCCTCCATCCCAAAAGCTCAAGCTATTGGGTGGACCAAATTCCTAACACAAGCTCATATCACAATACTTAGCAAATGAATGTGGGATCATCCGCTCAAGCAGGTGGCAGGTTTGAATAGCCACTCGTAAATAGCTGTAAGAAATGGAAATAAAAGAGAAGAAGAGAAGAAACACAGAAAAAGAAAAGGAAATACGAATTGGCAATATACTAGCATCTTGTTACAGAAAAAGGAACTTCTACTAGCTAGGACATATACTCACAGGCTTAACACCCCTTGTGCTGAAGTGCTTTGAAAGAATTATGTCTGCAACAGCCTGCGTGAAGTTGGTATTAGTGATGTGCACAATAATTAATGGCGTATTTCACATTCTTAAAAGCATTGTTATTTAAGTTGAGATCTGAGAGAAGCTTTCATCAATGATATGGTCGGAGACCGTTAACATCATGACCATATAAATGATATGTAAAATGAAAAATCCATGCACACTATTATCAATTTTATTTTTTTTGGTTTTAGGCTACTGATATGTTATAGGCCAGTATGCTTAAGTGATTTGCCTTCCACGCAAGATGTTACTTAAAGGAAAACTTATCATCTTTATGGCAATAATATAGAGGAATTTTCATGTTTATTTATCTCTACCTTCATTTCTACCCGGGATAGATAAGGTCTCTTGTTCTGATCATGTGAAAAGCGCACCTTTCCTCTTTTTTCTCCAGATTTTGTCCACTCCTTTGCGACTTCAGAATGACTCCACATCTCTTGCATGTCTTCCAGGGAAGCTTTAGAGTCCCAGTATATATAAACAAAACCTGTTTCCTCAAAGTAGCAACAGGGAATTAACATCCAACTGAAACCAAAATATTTTCTAAGTAACGTGGAAAGGAGGACAGATTGGCCCCATTCAAGGTAGTCAATTGACAGTATCAATTTAATTAAGAGAATAAATTTTACCGCAAAGTGGCATTATCTCTTCTCAAGATGTGATCTTTCCATATGACATCATAATCAACAAAGAAAGCATCTTATGTTTATTTACACCACCATGTTGACTAAAACAATGTTGACCAAGACAACTCCAATAGTAATTGTTCCGAGCTTGTCAAGTTTATATACTTCACTAGAGAAAGAGATTCTTTTTATTGAGTAATTAATTATATGCTCTAAAAAATATCACAAAATTGCGAAGTTAATAAAGTTGAAAAGAGAAAAGTGTGACCTCATGCACGTGAAGACTGGAAAAAAAAATATCATTTATACACACAAGTAATTGCACAAAACGTATTTTCTTTTCCCAGGTATTTATTTATACATTCTATAAGCAAAAAATACATTTTCACTGATGCAAAATCACTCCTGAAAGTTATGAATAGGCAGTTTCTTGAGCAGCCTAAAGATTAATATACAAGGATAAAAAGGGCATTAATGCTCATGGAGGAAAAGCTGATTGTTAGGATTTTTAAGACCCCTAATACAATAACATAAAAAAGTTTTATTGGAGCTGCATTTGGCCTTTTTCAGTTATTCAAACAAGATTCTGGCAAATTTACAGTAGTTTTGCGGTCCTTAAATTATATGAGAACTGAAAGTTTATTTGAACCTAATCCAAGCATTGTGAAGAGCGTTAATACCATTGCAAGTAATCTAAAGTGGGAAAAGTACAACCTGTGTCTTGTGAAAAAGGTGCATTTGTATTTTGTGTAGCAGGTACCGCTGGAGCAGTTGAAGAACAAGCACTGTTTACTGAAGGACTGACAAACCTTCTGCAGAATGAGAATACAGTTGTACCCAATTTAAAACATAGTGTACATGCATGCCTCTGAAGCAGCTAACTAGGACCTACGAGGAATGGCTATAAATTGTGATGGCCTACAAGTTACAATCATAAAATGCAGGTATGGTTATCCCTGACTGTAGGTGGTAGGGGACATTAAGTAGTCTACCATGGTGATAGAAGTCAAATTTAAAAGGGACGGCCATATGCAATTGTGTGCAAGTGTTACATAGAACTGCAAGGCACAGGCCATGGAACAACCGATTTGAGTGCAAAATCTGTTATGTTAATACAAATCACGCAACTTGTTCCAAGGCCAAACATCAAAAGCAAGGGCAAGTGTGTATCTTGCCTATGTGATTTTAAAATTTATCTTGCCACCGATGTATTGAGTAAAAGAGAAATATGAGCTCAAAAAAAAAAAAAAAACGTAAAACAGAGTAGCCCGCCCTTTTGGTAATCTCTCAAACTAAACTTCTTTAGATATTGCAATATTTGCTGAACCATACAACACAGTCACATAGTTTCCCAAGTATGTCCCAGAGATCTTCGCAATTCAGATAAATAGAATAGACCAAACAAACAGAA